CCCAACCAGTTTTGCATGACCAAAGCATTCTAAAAACATCTCCAACTCTATTTTAAAATTCGTTTTCATTGATTTTCAGACGAAATTGTTGTGGAACAATGTGAAACAAACACCACTCACCTCAGGCTCGGCTTCTCCAACGCGATAATAACAAAGCACGAATATAGAGACTGGGTACTTTTTGTTTGGATATATCGCGGTAATCCCATATGAATCATTATTCCCATTAGGAAGTACTGGTTGGGCACTCAGTCCCAGTCGGTTCGAACATGAATCCGAAATGTTTTGAAGTGATGGATGTTTTTGGCTTCCGGACATTAGATTTGTTTGGTTTGAATTTAACAAGCACATGACAAATTCTACTGTCGTTTCCCATTTGGTAAATGTCCTTGTTGGTCTCATTATGCAACCGATCCCGAGCGAATATTGTTGCACCCAGAAGTGCTCGGGAACGGGAAATTGAAATTGTGGTGGTCCAACTGGTTCCGGCATTGGACTGCCTCCGACCTGACAGATCGCATCAAAAAATGGCAGGCGAGATATGCGCAATCGTGCATCGCTCGCACCCAGTTTGCAACTATCGCAATCCGTGACTGTGGGTAACAATGGAGTCAGAGTGATCACATGATCAGGTTTCAACAATTCCAACAGATCATTCATTGGCTTCGTGAACAAACTACCATTTGGACGAATCATTGTGAGTAAGAATTGAACGTCTAAATTTTGTAGCATTCGAATTGCTTGGAAACCCGAGTGGGAGAGGCTCACATTAGTCAATTCGTCCACGGGGAGGACAGTGACTTGAAGACGATTGTTTCCAGTGGAATGCATCCGTTTCAATGGTGGAAGCAATCGGTTCAGACTATAAGAATATTCGTTACACTTACGTCTGTCGGTGATCGGCTTTTGTGAGCGAGAATACAGCCGACGGGCCAGAGCTATTCGGTCCAGATTCGAATCGAATGGGATGATTGTATAGTTACGATAGAAATCCATTTCCGGTTGATCAAATATTAAAATGCCCACACGTGCATTTTTGGCTCCTCGAGGTAATCCGAAAATCAATTGACGAATCATTGTGAGAAAATAATAACCGTAGAAATGAATTTGATCGCTAGCGCTTGTGGACAATTCACAGGCGGAGAACAGATTGTGAGAAAGCACTAACGAGAGGTCCAAACTGATTCGTCGATTCGAACAAATCAGTATGGACAGATGAAAATAGCGTCGGATTGTGTATGTTTTATTCTCCACCACATTTTCACCGGTACAAAGATACAGATAATTCATTCCTCGGTAGTCTGGATCCGAAGGAACGTACAGAAGGTGATCGACCGCTTTCGGTTCCCCACTGGGTGTATCGGCCAGCGGTTTCAGAGGATCACCCCAACCTGTACCTGGCAAATCAGCCGGCAACAGACTGGGAATGTCGTTCAATAGGTCAACATCTATATCCGGTTTCACCTCGGTATTCTCCTCGTTCTCTTTCCAATAGGGTACAGAACGAATTCGGGTCCATGTGTACGTTAATCCCGGTCTACCGTAACCTCCGGCACATTCGATTTGGGAGCCCAATGCGATCGGTTTAGTGGTTATCGGGTGTGAAAGAATACGAAATTCCAGTTCTCCGTTAGCAGGTTCTTGGATGGTGAATGATTGATTACATCGTAAAATGAGCCGATTGACCGGTGGTTTTAAAACCCAAGCTGGTGCAGTCACTTGAATGATAGACTCACAGGCTACATCAAGCATTCCCGTATAGTAACGCGATCTGATTGCCCTAATCCTATACATGATGGTATTGGTTGTTTCAGTCGGCTCATCATCAATATCGGAGATTGGTTCAACAAATTTGTCAGGGAAATCATCTTGCCAACGTTCTTTGTGATCATTATACATACGATAGTGAAGCCTTCGTGTGATATTGTAATACAGATCCAAAACACGTGCATATCGGCAGTGAACCAGGGCAATCTGATTGCTCAACAAATAGAAAGTATTGTTCTCGATTATTTGTCTATTCAGCGGAAATCGACCGTTTTTTCGTAATACGGTCATTGAGCATCCGATTGAATCGTTTTTTGGCAGCACGAGCAGTAGACGTGAATGCATCCCGACACTGGGCGAATTGCCCCTGTAGTTTCGAATTTCACATTCATACCAACCGGAATCGGTCAGCAGAGAGGTGTTGGTACGAAGCAGAAATCGATCAAACATAGGTTCATCTTGATAGATGAAACGTTCCGATAGGGGCATTGGTATACTGTCACGGTTGGTTCGAAAGAAGCATCTGACATCAGATAAGTTATGTCTTCCTAATCTACCCTGCATGAGAATAGGGTCACCGACGTAAACGAATGCATGCCAACCGAAACGGAGCTTTACTAGACAATAATCAAACACATAACACATATCAATCTCCGACTGAGGAGTGACCGGGTTGATCCTCTTAGTCCAAGCAGATATATTGTTAGAAACGATATGTGCTAAACGTGTGTTGATTTGTGTTTTGTCCACGACACTGCCCAGACTGTGTACGGTCGCGATAAACAGGGCAACATGTCTCGGTTGAATCATACAGCTTGCACGAATTAATCTTTTGGAATCCGTTTCAACTGTCTCGTTCGATAGTAAGCATGGGTCGGGAATAACTTGATCATCCACTTCAAACATGGACCAGATCAGAATCCAACCGGATGGAAAACCGATATCGGCCTTGAAAACGAGTTCGATCACACCATCTTCCATTCGCGGATAGTTCGCACTGTTGCGAAACCATTCCGGATCGGTCGGATATTCGCACTGATTCAGATTGGTGGCAATCTGTTCCCGATTGGATTTAATCGACTGACGAAACAGCTGTGGGCTGACCGGATGAGACAGGATGAGATGTTTTGTTTGATTGAACATACTTAATTCAACCACCGGTTCCAAATCCTTGTAAATGACGGTTTCATGAAGTACAAGAACGCAAGTGATCTCCAGATTATCGTTACTGGAGTCTGTGGTGGATTTAAACTCATATAAATCTGCATACTGGATTAGGCGTCCCATTGGATTATTCTTTCTTTCCTTGATTCTCACTTTCTGGCTATCCTTTTCG